TGTGTGTGTGTGTGTGTGTGTGTGTGTGTGTGTGTGTGTGTGTGTCATCGAACAAATATCTTTATATTATAATATTCATCGGGATTTATCTTATGAAGTAATGACGGACTAAATGGATGGATCCGAGCTAATTGACAAAAAGGTTTGTCGTTAAATTCCTAACGTTAATGATACGTTTCTAGATTCGAAGGAAAGATCGAAAAAATATAATCTCATAAAATATAATCTCACGTTAACTACATATTGCATACGTACATACGTACATACATATGAAAGGAGAATGGATATATGGAATAAGAAGAAGAAGGATACTGTGGGAATTGGATAAAAAACCCTGAAGACAGATGATCCAAAAAAAAAAGCAAAACGATGATGATAAAATGATGATTCGTGGGTGGGCTGATGTGATGATGATGATGATGATTATGATGATACCGACACGGATATAAGAAGGAAAAATGAATAAAAAAGGAGAAGGAAAAATAAAAGTGAGATGAAGAACTGACTCTTCTACCAAAGATGATGCATTGTACCAAGAAACGCGTGTAGAATCTAACGGTGATAAAAACACACACCACTTGAACCATGCCTTCCTCTTGTCTGCCTTTCAGGTGTGGTGCTCTTCTCGTCGGCGGTGTACTTTGCGGAGGTGGGCAAGCACAACAGCCAGTTCAAATCGATACCGGACGCGTTCTGGTGGGCGGTGGTCACGATGACGACCGTGGGCTACGGGGACATGAGGTACAGAGCCACCGGGGGCAATAAACCCACTGAACCGGTGTTTTCTTCCTTGCATTGCAGGTGTGGTGCTATTTTCATCGGCGGTATACTTCGCGGAGGCCGGCTCCGAGAATTCATTCTTCAAGTCCATTCCGGACGCGTTCTGGTGGGCCGTTGTCACGATGACGACCGTGGGCTATGGTGACATGACGTATGATGTACTCACTTTCATTTAAGACTCTAGTTAATGCCCGCCAAAACGAACACACGCACCACCAGCGTCCTACCCACCCCCAATTCCTTTTTCTTAAGCCCAACTTTAATCATCGCCACTATTTCAACTAATTTAATCTTATCTCGTCCACCTGCTCATCCCTTTAAAGCCTATCTTCCTTGAGTACTCGACCTTTCGAGACTCGAACCCATCCCCTATTTGCAATTTACTATCCACCTCCTCATCCCCCTTTTACCCCATTTTCACACGTTCGCTCTCTCTCTCTCTCTCTCTCTCTCTCTCTTTCACTCTTTTTTCTCTTAACTCCACTTCAACTGTGAACCAACATGCCCTTGTTTTCTACCAACCCTCTCTCTTCACCCTCCATTGACTTTCCACCTAACTACCAGTTACCTATTTACCTATCGTACTTTCTTCTTCTTCTTTCTTTTCTTTTAATCCTATCTTTCTTTTTCTTACCTCACCCTATTCTGTTCTTAACGATCTTGCGTTAAAAGAGGCTACGGAAGGAAGACGAGAGTACTTCGCACTCAAAGATCGAGGACTACTAATTCTAATCTTTACAATTTAATATCCCAATAGGATTAATACCTTGAAAATTAAGATAACTTAAGATATTATTTATCTTCTACATTTATTTTCATTTAATGATATTATTTATTTTTTTTTTATGTTAAGAATTTATAATAGGCAATAGTTTAATAAATACAGTTTTTGTTTTCCGTACATAGACCAGAATATACATTAAGGTTAACGCATTCAGTCCTGGAATATTGTACAATACGTTTGCCTTATCTGTTTGAGAAAGTACGTTTAGTAAATGAAGCTTCATGAAGAGAGGTACTGAAAGAGAGAAAGGGAGAGAGAAAGAGAGAGAGAGAGAGAGTAGAGAACTCAACGAGACTCTTGTGTCGTTCCCTATTGTCGAACGGTGATCAATGAGAAGGAAATGTCGAAACATGATGCGCTTCGAAAACGCGATGGCACAGGTGCCAACCAGGCTTGTCTTCGTTATGACGGAAGGGGGGGGATGGGGGTCTTTCGTTTGAAAAATTGGAAAATGAAATAAAAAAAAAAAAAAAAAAAACAAGAGTTAAATAAAAAAGTTCTCCGAATGAAAACAAAAGAAATATAATAATAATGAAAATAAAAATAATAATAGTTTGTAATAAAATAAAATAAAACTTTTAACGCACAAATAACAAAAATAAAAAAGAGATGAGAAACAAAATATAAATTTCAAATAACACTCGTAGTTACTGACAAACAAATCAAGCTAGTTGTATCAAATATTTATTTTCGCGAACTATTATTTTTTTTCCTTCTCTTTTTTCCCATCATTTTCATCGATAGAAATTTTGAGGAAAAACAAATTGTTGTCGTTGGATGTATATTACTTTTCATCCATGTTTCTTTCATTTTTTCTTTTTTATTCTATTTTATTTATTTTTAGTTTCAATTTGTTGTATTTTTTTTTTGTCGTATACTCAATCCAGTAATAGGATAGTTATATTCTAGGAGTTAGGGGTTTGTATTTATCCAATGACAAAGAATAGAATAGAAAAAACAAAAAAGAAAAGAAAATAAAATAAAAGGATAAATGTGAAAAGGATATTTAGTATTTATGTCCGAAGGAGTTTCTTCCTGAGCAATTGCTTCCCGTAAATCAATAAGTGTCCTCCGTCAGCAAGTAAAGGTTGCTGACTACTACTAGTAGCTCCTTGGATACGCCCCAAGGCTAAAAACGTGACAAAATATTATTAAAAAACGAATAAAAACAATCATAGTGATTTGAGATAGAAATAGTGACAGTAACTAGCCCAATAGTAATAGTAATAGTAATAGTATTTAGTAGTATTAGTATTAGTAGTGGTAGTTACATCAACAACAACAACAGCAACAGCAACAGCAACTGCAGCAGCCGAAGTTACAGTTTCGATTTCTTTCAATAATTATCTTTATCGATTGGTTTAGAAAGATTAAGAAGATTCCTTCACGTTTAACTTTATCAACTCCCACCCAACAACCTTCTATCCTTTCCTCTCTTCCCCAGGGCCCATCTCATCCCCCTTCTCAACACCCCCTTTCCAATGTTTTATATCTTTCTAACCCACTTTCGAATAATCCCCACTTCGTATTTCTCAATATTTCCAATTGTATTTCTAAGTGATATTTTAATTATGCAATTAATTATTAGCTAGGCCCATCAAATAAATTAAATTTTATTCTCATGTTGATTTAAACTTTATATTTTGTTAGTCAGTTATTGGTTTGGTTTATTTATTATTGTTATTTTTAGAAGGACGTAGGGGTGAGGGAGATGAGGGAGTTGGGGAAAAGTTAACTATTTCAAATTGTCTATACTTTTTTGAAATAATTGAAATGGAGCATGTATGTAATTTAATAAAAAATAATACAAAATAAAAATCAATATGAATATTGTGTCAGGGTCAGATACAATAATGTTAAAGTTGTTAGTTGTTAAAGTTGTACGTTAGCTCAAAGTTTGTTCTCATATTTTTTTTTTTTTTTTT